CATTTTCAAAAATTTGTAACTTTGCGCTGTTTCAACGGATTTGCTTGCATGTAATTTTATCAAACAGAATAAGTCTTTCGCTTTCAGATGCTTTTTCGTGGAGCTGCTATTTCATACTGGCTGCGGAGATAAAAATGGAAAACTAAGACCATATAAGCTTTGACCATTTTAAGTTAGGTCACCAAGAATCTGGAATGCTGCAGAAAAATCTGAAATCGTCAGTACATATGTTTTTTGGCCTACCCTTTGCAACTGTGAAAAATTTGTGCTGTTTCGACGTCTCTGTGAGAAGTCATGATTTTCGCGAAAATTGGTAAATTGATTAATTTTGGCGTTTTCCATAGTAAACTCGACATTCATAACTTCTCACAGAGACGTTTAAACAGCACAAACTCTTCACAGTTGCCAAGAGTAGGCTAAAAAACATAAGTACTATGGATTTCAGATTTTTCTGCAGCATTCCAAATTTTTGGTGACCTAACTTGAAATGGTCAAAGCTTATATGGTATTAGTTTTCCATTTTTATCTCCGCACCCAGTATGAAATAGAAGCTCCACGGAAAAGCTTTGAAAGCGAAAGACTTATTCTTTTCAAAAAAATTTACAGGCAAGCAAATCCGTTGAAACAGCGCAAAGTTACAAATTTTTGAAAATGAAACGACAGAACTTTCGGGCCCACCTAATAAATTGGCGCAAAATTGATTCGTGTTTTCCATGCTCCGTGCAAGATAACTAAAGACTGCAGGCGACATATCATTCGAGAGAGCAAAGCAAGATGGGTTTAAAAAAGGCGAAAAAGAAAGCCGTACTTCAGGTAAAGCCGCAAGGTTGATTCATCTGAAGTCCAGCTTTCTGGGGAATTTATATAACCAAAAGTGTTCTTCTGCCTAAAAAATCTCTACGGACCTCCTTTGCTCACATAGTTACCACAATAGACAATCGAATAGACAATTGCAATGCTTTTTTTCATGTGTGGAAAATGAGAAACAAAAAAGGACAAAAAACAATTTTGCCTTCTACGGTCTTTTATATTGAATTCCGTATTTATCAGAAACACGCTTGTGATAGAAATTCAAGTCATAGGGTCCCACCACGACACTGCGTCTTAACCTCGGCGGCAAGCGTCCATATCCACAATCAGCAGCTTGCGGAACACGTCTTCGACATTTTCGTACTCTGCAAACTTCGTTTTCGGAAGGTAAATACAGCAAATAACATTCAAAAATATGAATTAGTCAATTAAATGATCAAGAGAAAATATTAGGTTGTCCGGAAATTAATGTCCGTTTTGAATTTCAACCGCAATAAGTTATACACTTTTTATTCCTGAATAGCTTTCAAGGAACCATTTGACAGAGCAAAGCAAACTCTACAAGATGGCTATCTTGCTTTAACAACAGCTCTGATCCACCTCGAGTTTCGAGCCAAAAACTAAAAAGGTTCAACTACCCAAAAAATCGAGAAAAATCATAACTCAGTTCATAAGAATCCTGCAAAAATTCTAACTTGCTCACGTAAACACTATCCACATAAGACATGTATTTACGCTATTGCCGTATTTTTTCCTTTGTTAGAAATCGAAAAAACGAAAATTTTCATACTACTGCAAAGGTGATGCTGTGTCGTCCCCACATAAGTAGATGTATACTACAAATCTGCAGAAGTACAAACGTAAATTTTCAGCTCTCTACAAGCTTTAGTTCTCGAGAAATTTGAATTTAAGTTTGAACCACCTGACTCATGCAAGCTAAATTCGATACTTCTCGAAAACTAAAGCTTGTAGAAACTGAAAATTTACGTTTGTACTTCTGTTTGTAGTATACATCTACTTATGCGGGGACGACACAGCATCACTTTTACAAAAGTATGAAAATTTCCGTTTTTTCGATTTCTAACAAAGGAAAAAATACGGCAATAGCGTAAATACATGTCTTATGTGGATAGTGTTTACGTGAGCAAGTTAGAATTTTTGCAGGATTCTTATGAACTGAGTTATGATTTTTCTCGATTTTTTGGGTAGTTGAACCTTTTTAGTTTTTGGCTCGAAACTCGAGGTGGATCAGAGCTGTTGTTAAAGCAAGATAGCCATCTTGTAGAGTTTGCTTTGCTCTGTCAAATGGTTCCTTGAAGGCTATTCTGGAATAAAAAGTGTATGACTTATTGCGGTTGAAATTCAAAACGGTCATTAGTTTCCGGACAACCTAATATATAGGCATAAATGTTAATAAAAGTGAGTCTTGCTCAATTCCAACACTTGTAAGTCACGAGCTCAAAAGTTATCCAAATGTTAGATTAAATCCACTTTCCCTACATGAGAAGATGATTGACTGCTGCAAAGCCTAGTGATGAGTGAGATTGCAAGTTGTAGCTTCTAGTAGATTAGTTCCCGGGCATTTTTGCAATTTTATTTCCAAACGCATTTTTTCGCCACTCGGTCGGACTTTGACACCAAGCTTTTTTATACTGTTCAGTAGGGGAAAGCCTAATGCTTTCAATACGGCTTCTGGTTTTCATCGATGCCAAGACATGTTTGATCTGCACATCAAGTAGAAAAATCTTTATAACCATGAAAATTTCACAATTTTCCTTCCTACGTCCATTTTTTGTGCACTTCATAAAATTTCGTCCGAATCATGGATGATCTGATTGAGAAGCACGTTAACTTTTAACCCGCAGCTGCTCTCGAGCTTTGCGATTTGCGCTTGGAAATTACAAGCTGTCAAACTTGCCTCTAACTGTAACTTTTTTCGCAGCTGATGTCGCTTCTGCGAGGACGGCCACACCTGGATGAGGGTCTATAAGACGTGTAAGGCACTACTCCAACAACGTTCGCAGTAATCAAAGATTTGGTCCACCCCATGCAGAACGACAAGATAACTTACTCGAAAAATGGTGCATTTTTAGGGGCAAAAAATGGTCGATTTTTCAAACTTTCTGGAAAAACTTTTTTTTGCATGTGATCGCTCAAAGGCTTGAATAGTCTCCATAACAGCCCAAGCACACTTCTATATAACTAAAGTTTTGAGCTCTCCAGCCTTTATCGTGCCTGAAATAATGCCGCACAAATAGGCCACTTTTCGCGACGACGTTTCTCCTTTCTGTGCATGCTGATGGACCACACTGAGATGCTGAAAAACCAGCAAGAGATGAATATACAGGGTGTCCCAAAAAGATGTGCACACTGTTTAATTTTGAATAACTCTCTTGTTATAAGGTCTTTCAAGAAGCGGTAAGGGCCATTTTGTAGAGCTGGCTTCAACTTAGATTTATAGCATGGAGCGAATCACCGACCTCTCTTCGTTACTGTAGGATTACGGTAGAAACTTGAAAGAGGGTTTTGGCCATGAAAGGCCATATTTTGCCTCAGAAAGGATTCAAAACAGCCTGAAAACTTTTACACTAGGTCAATTAGAGTTGCTGATTTCTAACTGTAAAGTTCCCAACCCATTATGATGTTTCACTGAAGAGTTATGCAAGGTAAGCAGTAGCGGCCATTTTCTCAATGTTCCTAAAAGGTGCGGTTACACCGTTTAGAAAGCTTCGCAATCTTGAGAATAGTTGAGTATTGAACTCAGCGTCTCTAAAATCCCTATTACACAAGTTTTCACATCTTTTTGAAAATTTTTGAAACGGCAGCTTTTTCCACATTGACGCCATATGTCCAAGTTTCTACCGTATTCCTACAGTAACGAAGAGCGGGCGGTGATTCGCTCTAGATTGTAAATCTAAGTTGAAGCCAGCTCTACAAAATGGCCCTTACCGCTTCTCGAAACACCTCATAATAAGAGAGTTATTCAAAATCAAACAGTGTGCACATCTTTTTGGGACACCCTGTATGTTGTGGGCAAAATTGTCTTTGCAATAAGTCTGTAACTTCAAAAAGGAATCAATATGCTTGAAATTACAGCGATTTGAAAAAGATTTTCGCAAGTGCCCGGGAACTTTCTTTACGAAGTAATATAATTTTTCTACTACGCAAAAAGCTGATGAGAATATCTTGTGATGAGAAAAGTTAAGCCATCGGCACCAATCCGGCCAAGCGAACAATTTGACTCTCGACTCGCTAGTTGGACCCGCCTCTGGCATGCATCGCGCGACCATCTAGTGCCACTCTGAATCACTCGGTCGCTTTTGATGACCTAAAGTAGAGTTGCAAAAACGAGAATACTTTATCGTGCAAACAGTAACTTTTTTTTTCTTGTTGCTGGCAAGAAATGGTCTGAAGCATACCTTTTAAGCCATTGTAGGCTACGAGGTAATTCAGAAAGAAAATCCAAAGTTCAAGCACCAAGATTGTGTATCGGTCCTCGCACGAATTTGTCAACTGCATCTTGTAGGTTTGCTTTGCTCTATCGAATAATATATTTCTTAACTACTTATGTTAGTTATCGACGTATAAAAATATACATTAGTAGTGCATAAACCTACTGAGTGAAGCGTTCAAATCGAAATTTCTGAAAAAGGTATCGCTCTTGATAAATTTTGCCTGAATTTGGTGTGATATGCGCGTGACAGCTGTTGATGAAAAATTAGTCTATTATGCTATTTATTTCGTTTTGCTCAAAGAAGTGTCTAGGTGCGAAGTCATTCTCTAGCTCCGCAATTCGTCAAATGTTGCGATCAACTGATTCATAGTTTCCACACTTTAAAATAATTTCTCTTCAATCTCAAAATTTATCTCGTATTAATAACACAAAACCTTCCTAATTCATATTTTCAAAAAATCTTTCTATCAATATTATACATGCAAAATGCTAAATCTCCATCTTTCTTTATTTGTATCTTCGATGATCTCTTTATCCCCATCACCGCGGTTAGCAGGGAAATCGTGATCGCATGAAGCAGGAATATAAAGCAATCCTATCTTGTGTATTTTTGTGAAACGGATACTACTCCTTCTGTTCAACACACCGTCCATTCTTTGTTTTTCGAATCAAAGTTTTGCAGAAAAATTCGATAACATAAGAGATAATCAGCTGTCTTGTAAATATTGCCTGGACAATGGTATCCCGCAATCTCTCTAACATACAAAAAGTGCACTCAATCCGAACGGCTGCACTCAATTGTGTGTGTGGTGCGCGCTTGGTTCGTGTGTGTAGTGTTCGCAAAAGTTCGGTGGAGAGATAGTTCTTCTACAGAAGCTGCGTAATTTTAGGACATTTCAACCGTCGGTGTTCGCTTCGACTCACGGATAATGTCGCATGCCTGATCGCTGGTATTGCAAAAGCGCCGGACGTGAATGCACTCACACCACCACCGCCAAAACCCCCGGATCATTGCCGTCGTTCCTGCTCGCTGTTGGCGATATTCTATAGCCGTGTATTTGTGGTACTGCTGGTAGTCGTCGACGTCATTCTGCCCCATCGATTCATCCACTATCAGCAAACTCTCTATCTGCTGCTCTGGTACTATTCGAGGACTGCTTTATTGGAAATCAAGCACAAACGGGACTCTGGTGTGATGATGCTAGCAAATTCGCCCAGCACATCTTCTTCACCAGAAGCATCTGAAGAGCTGAGCATCTTTAAAATTGTGAGTTCAGCATTGTTCGAGCTACAGCTCGGTTTCTGAATTGATACAACTATCAAAAAAAAACTAACTGAGCAAAAGCGAAGTTCTTTTGATATTATCATGCCGTCTTCCTTTATTGTCTTCCTCGCCATACCTACCCAGCTGGCTTGAGAATATATTCGTAGCCGTCCTTAGATGCTTCTTACCTATTTTTTTCAAATTTAATATTTTGTTATGTCTTCATTCTGAACAGCCTTACAATCATCTATGAGAGAGTAGATGGAAGTCTTCGAAGATGGCAGAAAAATTAATCATTTTTAAGAACAACAAATGCGCGTTAGCTCGTGATAAGTTTTGTTATATGCGTGGCAACCCTCTAGAAATTATAATTCTTACTAATTATTCTATGTAGAGGCACCACTCTGAGATTTGCGTTGAAAGGAAGCGGTGGGTGTCAGCAGAGATGCTGTGAAGATTATAATATCACTGAACGACAAGGTATTACACGAAAACATTTGCAAAAATAGAACATGGCGTTTATGCGTTCCATACAGATGGCTGAAAAATCAGTGCGCTGCGTAAGTGACTGCACATTGATGTATTTTGTATGAGAACTTAATGAATAGAAACACATCAATCACGACATTTAAAGAGCTCAGGCTGGGTACTGATCTATACTGATCCATAAGCTCCGACACATTTCCAGCACAGCGCTCGAACTGTGCCAAGTGCGCCGCAAGCGCTGCAGCATCCCCATGCGGTTTTGAGCGGCGGGACGTAGCAATTCTTGGCAGTTTTGAACTGGTTGCGTCGTGATTTTTCATCTCAATTTCACCTCGCTTCCTCCTGCGATGGAAAAGTTCTAAACTTGAAGTGAGGTTCGAGTGTGGAGAGTTTTTCATGCTATGGTCGCGCAAAGCTGTATATGTCTTTGCGCACCCGCTCTCCTCCATACTTTTAAAACCGTTCTGCAGGTAGGCACTGCGTCCTCGACATAGCCAGCGGTTTCGGAACAAGACAATTACAATGGTCACGGAGATTGCGTTTTGTTGGGACTGTTTTGGGCGTTTTAGTCCCACTTCTTTTTACTGATTATACTTTCCTCTTCGTTCTTTCTTGGCTATCGTTCTCGCCTTCGGTGGATTGAAAGCTGGTTTGATTCGAGATAGTCTTTCTTAACACTTCAAACGAAAATGCGATCATTTTTGTACCTCGCTCCAAATTTGGAATCCTTCCGAACAAACAAGAAGCGAGGTATAAGAATGGGACGAAAACGACGATTTTTGCAATGGAACAGAAATAGAAACGGTCAAAAATTGTTACCTTCCACCGTTCAGTACTGCATGCGGGTGGCCGCACACTGCAACATACTTCAGACACAGCTCATGATAATGGAATTGTGCCGAAACTTTCGGATCAGCGTAAACCCAGGCTTAGCTTCGTCAAAAATTTCGTGAAATCGGAGGAATCAAAACACTGTGTAGGGTGTAGCTTGCTCATTTAGGATAATGAGCTCAGTAAGATTCATCAATATGGCACCCCTTAAAATGCCTAGACTAAAAATTCCCTTTTGAAGCGAGTGGGATGTGATTGTACATGTGAGCACTGTCCAGTGTTATTGACTCAGCCTTGATTTTGACTATTTGTAGCAATAAAATATGTTGCGAATAACATTGGTGTGTGCTAGTCTCTTTTTCAATGGCAAAACTCTCCAAAAAGGTTGGTAATCTGACTACATTGCTTTTCTTGGAAATACAATCGCTTTTGCAAGGATTTAGCTCCTTGGTCTGCATGAATCTTTGAAACCTCGCCGCAGATTTTTCTCTCGGAGCCTGCCCCTTCTTGCAAATGGTTCTACATTAATTCTGCATTCATCATAACTTTCAACACAATCACGACATTATCGCTTCTTGAAGTGTGTGTGTGTTGTGAACCGCACTATTTTCCAAGTTTAGTTTACGCAAACTTTTCATTTTTACGCATTCATGATGAGAAGATGATTGATTGTCGCGATCATTCATACCCAAAATTGATTATTTATGATGTAGGCTTTTTGGCTGTTTGTGACATCAGGACAGGCAAAGGTGTTCTGAGTTGCAAGATGTTTATTGCTTTTGATAGCTTTCATTTTACTCAACGTTATACATTTTGACAAAGTTGCAGCTTTTGCAAGTAAGACTTTGCAAAACATGCATTATTTTTGCACCAGCTTACTACTCCAATATTAACAATTCTACTTTTTTCGGACCTGTTAGTAACAAAGTACAAAAACAAATCATATGTCTGACATGGCAAGAGGTTCGCTTATTTTACAATCTTCGATGAATTTCATACGCATCTATTTTCTAGAGAAATTCAAGGACTTCAAATATAAGACCTATCTTGTATTCGAAAAAATATCACAAACCTTGCTCACAGACCTCGGACAAAAGTGAATGCTCTGAGTTGAAGAATTTGCAGCATCAACGTCAAACATAGGTTTCTTTTGAAACTTTTAATCAGATTCTGATTAGAAGGACAAAAATTTGAGATTACTTGCCAAGAAGACTTGTAAAAGAAACAGTGCTCCTTCCAACTACCTGTATGGATGCGGTCAATGTTGCAAAATGCACTTTTCCTTTCTTGAAGAAGGAATGAATCAATTTCGTGTCATTTATGGAATAAACGGACATATAAGACAATGGTCATTGTAACATTCTCCTAGTCGCAAACTTGCAGTGTGAGGTTTAACTTCGAAAGCAAGCTATCCGCCTCGCTTAAATCTCTTAGAATTGTCTATGGCTGCAAAGAAAAAATTAGTGACGGCGTAGCTTAGTGTAGTATTCTGCAATCTTTGTGTTGCAACTCGTTGTTTGCCTTGATTCTTTGAGAAATAATACGATTTTTTCCGGTGTACCGAAAAGATCTGAGTTGTAAGGCAATGGAGTGATATGTATGTACCTTGCACCGCACCAAGTGAAAGTTGTACTCTTGGCGGTCAGCGCCTTGATGCAGCTCTTTCGCAACAGTAAATTTTTCATTCGCCAAGGTCGTAGACTTAAAAGTGATTAAAAACTATCTCGGCAGTAGTTTGTCACCATGAATAATGTGCATCTTGAAATCAACACGTGACTGAGGGACCCTAAATGAAAAAGAGAGAAAAGACGAGAAGACCAGAGAAAGTGAAATGTAAGACGTCTCGTAAGATATAAAGCAGCGTGTCGAGTTGTTTTCGAGTTACAATCAAGATTGCAACAAATCCTTTGCCGTAAGAGTTCCTTCATACTACGCCGCGACACCGCGTACACCACGTACGCCACGTACGCCGCGCGCGCAGCGTACGCCGCGTACGCCGCTGCAGCGCAATGGAAATATGGAAATATGAAGAAGAGAAATCCTTTTCATCCAATGATGTGTTTGTAAGGAGATGTCAACAGCGCAAATATACAACAAGATACAACATACAACCGTATACTACCAATATCAACCACATGACGCAATGTGCAGTCAGTTACGATATTAAATATGAAACTCAAAAGTAGAGGGAGCACAACAAGCTAAGTCAGTCAAGCTAAACCGTACATGAAGTGCAAATTTGGCAGCCCAAAGCCATATTCGACTTAATGCTGGGCCAGGTCACGCGCTAAGTCACTTTATGATTTTGAAGCTCAAAAGTGAGCTGAAAGTGCAAGATGCGCTCAATTTTGCTATTTTTGTGTAGGTTTTTTTTTCTACAAGTGCTCGTAAGTTCTTACTACGGCGCTAAGCAGTTATAGAAAACAGATTTGAAGTCACGTTGAATGCTACATTGAACAGTAGGCAGCTTGCTTGGGTCGGTCATTCCGACTTCTGACCATTCCCTTTTATGACGAAATTACTAATATCATGGATATATAGTTTCTAAAATGACGTACCACTCAACAAATTGGCCTAATGCTCCTGCGGTAACAAGGAAAAAGTGAAAGTGGACATGAAGCTCAAAATAAAAGTGGGCTGTCTACGGTGATTTTCTTGCACATTTAGGGCATAGCGGTATTTTTTACGCAAATTCAGTATCGTGAGGGTGTTAATTCTCTAATACTTGAAATTTAGCCCTTTTACTTCTTCCACATTACCCATCTCTTAATGGCTAAGGAAGGGAAAGAGAAGAAAGAATCAAAATCTACAGCAGTGAAATTACACACCTCTTCGCTTTTGGCTTTCTGCACAGATCCATTCAATGTCTGTGATTTAGAATTCATGTTGGATTTATATGCGATAAAATACCCATAAGCCACCAAAAAACGTTGCTTTTTAGGGCCCAGACGACGCAGATGTTGGCGAAGCTGAGCGTCTCATGTATAATGCTATCTCTAGCTACTCTAGTCTCAGCAGTCCTCAAGTAAGCCGCAAACGAAAGAAAACAAGTGAGTGTCTAGTTTTTATCTTCTACACAGCAGAATGCTTCACACGATGTGACAAGCTTTCGATAAAATTCTTGTCCAATCTTCCTTTGTCCTCTTTTTTGCTTCGCAACGACGTTGATCATTCCCTCCATACTTTTCTGCCCTATCATGGTCAGACGTTCGAGGGAAATATCGTACGAGAGCTTTGAAATATTGCGAAATTCAAGTGTTTATCCCAGGATTCTCCAAAAAGCGCATGGTTTTCTCTTTCCAAAAAAATTAGAACAAACTAGCAAAATGAAAAAACTACTAGGTAAGGCAAATTCGCTCGCTCCAATTCGCAACATACCGAAAGTGATAGCACATGCTGATATATTTACGAAGATTTGAATGCTTGTATATAAGTCAGAAGCGGACTTTCCAAATGTAACTGACAAGAACTAGTAAATTGAGTATGAGTAACAGATGAAGTTGGCTGTTGAAAATTTGAAATGTTTGGTGCAGATGCATTGGTAGTTTAATTAAAAATTTATGTGGACCACCCTGTATATCTTTGCCTTCGCTAATCTATTGATTGTAAACTAAGTCATCGTAATGAAGCGATGTGCTCCAAGATTATTTACTCGAAAAAAGATAAACGAAAGTTCTTTAAATTTTTGTTGAACATTAGGCTTTGCTACGCGTAAGAAAGTCTCGTCTTTCTCGAAACTACAACTGCGGGTTGAGCCAGAGTGCGCGGCGTACGGGCGTACGTGACGTACGCAGCGTACGCTTGGTATATTTCATAATAGGAGAGTACGCGGCATACGCTGCGTACGCCGCGTACGCCGCGTAGTCTGGCTCAACCCAGAGTATTGTCGATCAAGACTCCTTTCATTACATTTATATGTATGCTATAAGCAGGAAATTGTAGTTATCGAAAAAAATCTTCACTCAGTTAATTATGATTTTCTTTTCCAAACGTTCAATTTTCGTGCAACCGTCATAAAAAATAGACGCTAGTACATTGGACACACTTAATGAAAATTTGCTGCGGCTATAGGAAGTGATTTTATGTTCAACCCCGATGTATGACCTCCCCTCTCCCTTTCCCTCCTCCACATACTGTGGAAAGTGGTAACCTTCTTGAGATTTTGCAAGATGCGTGGAAACCGTTTCTCAAAATTTCAAAGTTTGAGACTTGTCCCATATGAATCTCAACGACTGTTTGCTCATTTCTAAGCCAACGTTTTGCAGTGGTATGCGACTTCATCGTCATGTTCAATAGATAATGCATCTTTCTGGTAAAGCCACTCCGATCAGAGCTGCTGCTAACGGTCAGTGGTACTTCCCTGAAAATGCAGAGTTACTATTGTCTTCTTGTATAGGCTGCTGCTTGGCGAAGGCGCAATATCTTTGAGCGCGAACGCGGCTTCTTTAGCCGCATAGCGCATGAGACGCAGCATTCACAACGGTGAAGTCACGCGCGTTACGCGTGCGCGCTCGCTCAACTAAGATTGCTTCTGCGCCTTCGTCATGCCTAGCCTTTATTTATATCGTGCTGTGTGGGCTGACACTCGGTCTGCATTTGCGAGCGGTTTACCGAGAAAGATCCACTGCCTTCATTTGCTGCTTATCTTAATTCCACTTCCTCATCATTTCCAGATCGGCCGAGATACAGGCTCCGTAAAATCCAATTGCCCACGCGTCGCTTTGAATACCAACGCGCGGTGCGTTGGGAGCGTTTCGTCCCGAAGCGCTACAGGCTTTTTGTGAGCGACAATGAGCGCGCACCCTTTCCACGCATATTTTTTTGAACTTTGAAGGGAACTTTCGTCAAGATATACCTTGCATTGACGAGAACAACATGAAAGTTGAAGAAAGATTTCTTGGAATATAGCCAACGCCGACAGTCGTTCGCGACGGCCGCTCGCTTACGCTGGTGTTCAAGGCACGGCGCGAGCAATTAGGACGGCGCCTATATGCCTCTTCGTCTCTCAATGTAAAGGGCCAGGCATACTTCACGCGATTTCAGTCGCAACGCGATTTGGCAATTCGCCAGAAGCCCTAAATCCAACGCTAGCAAACTGCACATGCATAGTGTGTATAATTTACGTGGATGATAAAATGCCCTATCTTTCGTACATACAGAAACCCCTTACAGTGAGTTATGGACAGTTGGAATATTGCCAAATGCGTGGCGACTGAAATCGCATGGAGTGTAGCGGCCCTTATCACCACTCTCGACTAAAGCTATCGTTTGGTCCCTTTTATAGTAATTGAGAGCTTTTGTTAGGCACCAGGGCGGATGCAGAGAAGCCTTTGGCCCGTAGTAAACCTCCACTCATCTCAAATGACTTAAGATTAATCATTAAGAAAAACTTCCTCGGGTGAACCTAATCTCGCCCACCTTCCCGTGCTTTAGGATAGTCAGTTCAACAGTCAGAAGACTGTCCGGTCAAGTGTCACAGTCAGTTCACCAGAATGCCACTTATCCGAGGTTGAATTTTAGGGTGATCCGAGAGAAATAGTGGGCAAAAGAAGAGAACCAGACAAATTTCCCGTAAGTTGGTCATGAGTACCATAGGCTCCCCAATTGCTGCGAGGGCGGTCGCGATGGTCAACCGAAATCATTTTATCGGCTATGTTTCAACACAGGGCAATTGCACAATTTCGGCGGCCTAAATAAGAGATGATCAATGAACAGCTGATTGCGGCGAGAAAAGCAAAAAGTTGGATTTCTTTTTTTAAGGCTTGCTTATTTTTTCTTTCAAAAACTGCTTTAAACAAGCCTTTTTGATTTGTTTCATTTGCATATGTCCCAACATTTTCATTTTTTCATAAGTCCTCGTCAAAAAATGATAGTTTCGTTTTATCCATTGTTTGCTTAGCTATATCCTTGATAGCGGTCGCCATTGATTTTTCTCGATAACGGCCGCTATCAAAAATTGTCCCTGCGATGGGCAAAAATTTGCCACCAGCCGGCTTTGAACCATGGGCTGCGGCGTTAAAACCCATTCACTTAGCCGTTCGACTAAAACTGCTTAAAAGGTTTAGTTTTTGAGAACACACAAAATCTCTAGGTCTAGAAAGCGATCCTTATCCGGATCGAGGCCACTGGATGCCGGACTGAGGCGCTCCACGTTCAACGTAGGCCCGCCCCCAGCCGACTTGAGCTGAACAGAGGTTTACTACTCAGACATTCGCATTGAGTCCCGCAGGACAGAATGAGGTGTAGTCACGGAAAGCGCGATTCCCGAAATCGGTTTGGGACAAAATTAGGACACCTGATTTTGTTTCGGGACGAAAGCGACAAAATCAGGTGTCCCGACCGACACATTCCGGACAAAATCGTAACACCTGTGAGAAACATCATAATGCCCCGATCGCATTTAGAGCATGCGGTCTACTCTCTTATAAACGAATTTTTGAGTCATCTATGTCTTCTCCAAACCTTCTTCTTCACTTACCTTGTGCCCTTTGTCTCTTCGGGCCTCATATTTCACGCCTTTTATTTTTCTGCTCGTAAAACCCAATCAAACGTCAACAAATTTATTAACAAAAACCACATATTATTATCAAGTTTCCTCAGTCTCTTCAACCCCATCTTCAACGCATTCAGTCTTCTCATTTACTAATTCCTTAATGATACTGCTGCCTTCGATGCCTTCGATGACGACACGCTTTTTCTGAAAATCAAAAATTATTGATACCTCTGAACGTATAAAGCAATGAATCACCTTTAACGGAAGAAGCGTGGATCTTTCAGGGTTCAAATAATGGATGTTTGCGCTGCAAAAGTACAATCCAAAGTATCGCTTCTTCTAACAGTGAGAGAAAACTCACAGTCCTCTCCCCATCGCTATTCTTGCACGACCGGTCCAAACCACTCTTGCCTTCTAGATTCGTTGACAAATTTCTCACGAGCGTCGTCCTCTTCTCATAAGGGCTTTCACCACCTAAACTGTGGTGCACATGAAGGTCTTCTAAAAACATAAATAACTTTTGGACTTCGCTTATGTTCATTTGGGGTCCGCAGAAGTTCGTCGTGGTATAAGCCCAAAGCGTCAAGCACGAAACCTAAATCAGTCATTGAAACTAATGAACTTAGAAACACATTGACCCACCCCACCCACCAACCCACTCACTAGCTCGATGTTAGCGATCGACGAATGACAACATGGAGGACGGCCTCTACTGCAACAATAATAGAAGAAGAACATAAAAACATAAACATGATATCTTGAGGAGGAAAGCTCAATTTAGTTCCAACGAATTACTGAAAAATCACACTGTTATTGAAGGCCTCGGCAGCCATATCTTTTGGGCTTTTCAGCGCATGAAGAGGCGAAAATGAGCTTTTTCCGGAGCTTCTAGGTCCACACTTAGTAAGGAAGTAGGCGGGGTCAGGAAAGAGGAAGGCAGGGCGCGGCTTTTACCGGCGTATCTTCACTGATTTTGGCTATGAAAAGAGAAAAGATTCGGAAAAACTCATTTTCAACATTTTCATGCCCTGAAAAGCCCAGATATGGGATTCTCATGGCGAGAAGTCCCCGGAAGTTGAAAATGGAAAACGAAATTCTGCCGAGATGCTGCCTCAAAGAGTTTTCCACCCCAAAGAGCAACTCAACACTGTCGGCGATATGAGCACCGCACATCCCACTCGCAATAAACTGCACTTACCTAGGGTGCAGGAATAATGATAAGCCTAGCTGTGTGTGACTGAGGAAATGAGAGTGGGGCTTTCTTGGAAGTTGAGTTGAGAAACTTACCCTAAAGAAATTACTGTGATATAACTCAGGATTACGGCAGCAGTACAGAATGAACTCAGTAATTTGGAGATGTACTTGTTTAAACGTGCTCCCGCGCTTCGGGACAAAATCGCATCAAAATCGGGACAAAACTAAAATGATGACTCCCGCCGGTGCCCGGACTCTGGTGCGACTACCCATTTTGTGGGCGGATCTCCTGCGGGACTCAATGGTGAATGTTTGAATATGGGTCTTCATCCGAGAGAGCAAGCCACAAGAATGAGAAGTACA